GTTGGCCAGGATGGTCTTGAACTCCTGACTTTGTAATCCACCTGCCTTGGCCTCCCAAAGCACTGGGATTACAGGCATGAGCCATCTGCCCAGCCTCCAACAATACTGTAAACATCTGTTATGTGCAAATAACCGTACTAGGTGCTGCAAGGGATGCAGATTTATGGCATGGCTTATTTTGTTCCAAGCATTGTTTTAAACATTTTAACTACATTAGTTGATATAATTCTCACGATTATCCTACAATGAAGGATCAGTTTTACAGATGAGAAAATTTAGGCATAAAGTTTATAAAGCTATTAAGTAAGAAGGCTGTTACATAAAGAAAGCATAAATCCACTCAGCCTGTGATAACTATCATCTTTGAAAAGTTTGAACAAAGTGCTTTGAAAACTCAGAGATTATTGGGATAAAAGAAAGAATGGATGTTAGCTTTTGAGATGAATTGACAATACCATTGTGATTTCAATAGGCAAGGAAACCACCTGCAATGCAGACTTTGAGTTTGAACAGGCTGAAATTTCACATGCTAGCAGCATAGTCAAGTGAGAATGTGTAGTCTACAAGATTAATACTTACAGGAGAAGTTGGGCAGGAGATGCAACTTGAGAGCTATTTGTGAAGATTTAACCCTGTACGAGAGGAGAGTTTAGAGAGTATAAAGAGACCAGGGTGGAGCTCTGGGAGAATGCCTGCTTTTAGCCAACAGAAGAAAGAAAACAAGGGATCCAATGAAGGATGTGAAGAAGGAATAACCAGAGTGAGAAAAGGAGAATGGCATCGTGTCTCAGGAACCAATTAGGAGTGAGTTTCTATAGAAGGGTTGTGGGAGCTGGGCAAGGGTGTCGGTTTCTGCAGGAAAGAAGATGGGGATGAACGAGGCTTGAGCAAAGGCCATTAGAATATGAGAAGGAGGTATGTTGGAATGCAGAGTAAACGAATGCATTGTAGCCAAGAAATAGACCACACTTTTAAGAAGTTTGGCAACTAAGGGAAGCAGGGAGATTCCATGGCAGGGGGTTTATGAGAGGCTTTGGTTTAGCAAGAGAAAACTGGGCAGGATGTTTGAGCAGGAGCTCATTAAGGAAGGTCCCTCAGGGGACAGGAGGGAATGGGAGTGAGAACTGCAATTATTAATTTGTACTTTTACTTTCCCTAAAGATCTCCAAAAATTCTCACCTGCATCCATATGTGGAGGTCATTCGGTGACATTTTGTAAATTAACAAAAAAGGAAAAAGAAAAGACAGAAATGGAAAGTTTACCTATTCCAGCGATCTTACTGAATCATTTTGAGATGAATCATCAAATATATTTTTTTTAAAATAAGAACTAAATTAAAATAAGAAAAAATAAGGAAAATCAGAATATTGCTACTTAAAGATCACAGTGTTGGAATTGTCTGTGAAAATGCTAAATGAGCATTTTAAAAAATCATAATTGCTACAAGGATGGCCTCTGAAACATAATTTAAGATAATAATGATAAAATGAAATAAGGTATCTTTACTAAATATGGTATTGGTTGTTTCAGGCCTAATTTAGTTTCTAATTACTCTGCAGATTCTCACTTGAAAAAATCATAATGCCTGTAATTGATATCCTAACCTACCATAAAATGTTACCTTAGGCAAAAATGAACTGATTTATTATCAAGCAGCTGCCATCAGGGAGCAGCCCAATCTGTTCACCAGCACCATATTCACAGCAGTATTTTCTGCAGCTTAAAATCCAACTGCATAGTTTGGAATTCAGACCCTCCACGGTGAAGTCACTATGCAAGTTTCTGCCTGAGCTTCTGCATTTCCTCTCCAAGCACCTAACACTCACTGGGCACACCTCCAGCGCTCTGCCAACATCCTGTAGAATGCAGAGTGCCCTCCTCAACCCAGCCCCAACTCCCTGCTCCGTTGCAGGGCCACAGGACAGCTCTGGCAGAGCAGCAGTGCTCCAGACCTGGAGTCGGAAGTCCTGCCATGCCCCATGCCACTGTTCAACTCTACAGCCTGTGGGTTAACCTCAAGGTTATTGAATCGCTCATCTAAGTGTCATTTTCCAAAAAATAGGATAATGATAATAATCACCCCCAGAGAGTTACGATAAAGTCATGGAAGCTAGTACATTTTGTTAAACTAAAATGCCTTGCAGTTGTGGGCAGTAGTTATGGTACCGCACTTCTTACAGGGAATTCCACCACCTGGTTCTAAGGCGGTATGTTTCAAAATCCTCCTTTTCCACACTTCAAGGCTATCTTCTGGGGAACAAGGGACAAATTTCATCCACATGTTTAGTGAAAGGACTCATTAGACTATTTGTTATGTATGAAAGCCCCACACATGCCGACTGGATTAAGTGAGAAAGTAAACCTCCAGGGAAAACAGCACTTCCCAAGCTGTTAGTCCCTGGAATGGGGAGGGCTCTAGGAATGAGGATCCTGTGAGGGGAGGTGGCTGGCAGCTCCAGATTTCTACTTCTTCCCTCTCTTCCTCCTCCTCCTCTTCTTTTTTTAATTTATTATTATTATTATTATTGGCAGAGTTTCGCTCTTGTTGCCCAGGCTGGAGTACAATGGTGCAATCTCGGCTTACTGCAACCTCCACCTTCCAGGTTCAAGCAATTCTCCTGCCTCAGCCTTCCAAGTAGCTGAGATTACAGGCGTACACCACCATGCTCGGCTAATTTTTGAGGTAGAGACGGAGTTTCACCATGTTGGCCAGGCTGGCCTCCTCCTCTTTCACTTGCCTGTTTTTACCTTTCCTCTTTCTTCCTCGGCGGGGCCTCCCCTGGCACCACCTATAGGTCTCTTGTACAATATGTGCTCAGGAACCAGCACAGAGTAGGCACACAACAAACATGCCATCCAGTGACAATGGCATGGAAATAAAACCAATTTCCCGCCTCCATGACAGCGACTGTTGATTTAATTACAGAAATTTTCACTAAGGATTGAATGACCAAGAGGCTTAAGGAAGCCTAGGGATGGCAGAAAGGATAACCACATTTGTATTTCAGAAGAAATGCTTTTTATTTTCCATTAGTGGAAGGAAAAGATGAAAAACAATTAGCCTGTGCTCTGTGGTAAGCACATCTTTACTCTGCTTCATCTTCATAATCCCCAAATGTAAAAATCCATTGTACAGATGAAGAATGGAGACTTGAGTCTAAAGCAGTCTAAAACTCTAGCAAATAATGCAACCAATATATGTCCCAAATCTGTTTAGCACCAAGAAATTGCTGGTGATGGATAAAAACCAAGAAATAAAATGAAAAGGAATCCTCTTAGTTGTTAAAAACACTGACATGCTCTGTTCTTCCTCAGTGATGCCCTGCTTTCCTTGTTTGGCATAACTCCATCAGAGGCACCAATCCATCTGTTTGCTTCTCTAACAATCTGGCACTACCTGGGGAACACAATCTTCCTGCCATTTTACCACAGAAATACCCATATGCTGGAGTCACTGTAGCTGAGAATTATAGCCTGACCACAAGACAGACACTTTAGAAGCTGTGAGAATCCCAAGGGGTAGGAAATCTTTGTTGACTGTATAAACATATTGCAGACCATCAAGGAAGAAAGCCAAGTTGAAGGTTTAAATGGGAAATCTTACTAGTACAAAATGCAGGAGGCCCGAACCTTTGCAGCCCCTAAAAAGGACTCACCCAGCCAACTAGGTGAGTCACCCAGCATCACAGGGGACTGATGTTGGGGTTCATAAATAATAGTTTGGAGAACGTATGTATGGCTGACATCCTGTGGAAAATCCTCCAGCTCTTCTGAACACTCTTCTTTCCTGCTGCCTCCCAGGGAGGCTAGAAGTCCAGATTATCACTGTCCTAACCGCTTTTTCATGCGTGGCCTTGGGATCCAGCTCTAGCTGTTGAGACATAAAAGGAAGTGTATGGGACTCTGAGCAAATTTTCTTCCTTGAGGAAAAGGAAGAAGGGCTTCCACATGTGGCTCCTTTCCACTCCTCCCTGCCTTTGCACAAGGGTAGGGTGTGGATGTCTGGGGCTGCAGCAGCCATCTGTGACCATAGGCAAAAAGCTTGGTGATGAATGACAACATGCACAAAGCACCGAAACATACAACCACTTTCTATATGTGAGATGTTGGGCCCAACTGCCAAGAATGGAACCTTGGCTTGATCTAACTCAGAGCCTAGGCCCCAGGAGTTTAGGCTTTGCCTAGAGGTACTAGATTTATGCAAAGATGCTCTGAGAACAATGTTATCATCAAATATCATATAGACCTCACATGCAGAGACTGCAAACCTGCCAGAACACATGAACATATTAATTCCTGTGCTAGTTAGGGGCCAAACTCCAAGGAACAGCTGGGTTCTTTCCCTGGCTCTAAAAGCAGCAGTGGGTAAACAGAAACAAATATGCTTATGATAACTAAAAATCTTATATCAGCAGAGGACTGGAAGATTCTCAGCGTCATTCTGGCTGCTCAGCAAAAGTCCTTTTTAACAATACTGACTGGAAGATAAATGTATCTGTTTGTGTTACCAAAATAAAAATACATGAGAAAAGGACATGGATTTCGGCCAAGTGAACACCATCTGTAAGTAGTGAAGGCTGAGAATGCTTTTTTTATAAGTCAATTATTTTTAGTTTCCTGTGGCTGCTGTTACAAATTACCACAAATTTAGAGGCTTAAAACAATACAAAAGTATTGTTTTAAGTAAAGTAAATTTAAAATTAAACAATACTGAAAACCAATATATTGTTTTACCATTTTGGAGGTCAGAAGTTCGAAATGAGTCTTAGTGAAAATAAGATATCAACAGGGCTGCATTATTTCTGGAGTCTCTAAAGGAGAATCTATTTCTTTGTCTTTTCTAGTTTCCAGAGACCATCTGCATTCCTTTGTTCATGGTCCCCTTCTTCTATCTTCAAAGCCAGCAGCGTAGCATCTTCAAATCTTTCTCTGACTTTGATATCGACTCTCCTGCCTCTGCCTTTCAGTTATAAGAACTCTGTCATTGCATTGGGCCCAGCTGGACAATCAAGGCTGCTTTCCCCATCTCAGAGTTTGCTGATTAGCAACCTTAGTTCCCTTTACAATCGTAGTTGCCCCTTACTCTTTTTAATCTTAATATTACATGGAAATGAGAGTATTATTTTTCTTTGAACGCTAATGAGGGTAAATGTTTTTTCAATATGTTTCTTGGAATTTTATTAAGTGCCGATTCATGTTGTTTGCCTAGATTTCTATTTCAGAATTAATAAAGTTTCTTTCGAAAAATTATGGTTGAATTTTGTATAGGGCATCCCTTGTAAAAGAAACCATGAAACAAAGTAGAAGCTGATCATTTTCTCACAAAGTTCAGGGAAAAGAAAGTATTAGAAACATGAAGGGAAATAGAGAAATATAAAAATTTAGAAAATCTATAACAAATCCAGTAAGTGGGAGGACACCAAATGCCTTAGAATTAGTCTTCATTCATAGACAATGGAGAACAATGTGGTCCAAATGAGATGATGAGTAGGAAGAGTCTTCTGGGGACAGCATAAGGTTGCCTTGAAGTAGTCCAGTCTAGATATTTCCAGAAGAGAAAGAATTTGTTATAAGGGCTAAGAAGATAAAGAAGACCTCAGTCATCAGAGCTGCCATAACACCTGTACTGTACGCACAAGCTCATATTTAGTGCTGAGCAACTGGTGACTGCCGGAGTCACTAGCTCCTACTCCTGCCACCTCCAGAGGCACCAAAATTGCTCAGACCGACAGTTGACTGTAGCCTGAAACTACCACTTCTGGAGGCAGAAATCGCATGATTTCTTGGCCTTCGAATCTCCCACCAGTATCTCCCATTAGTGGAACTTACCAAGAAAACAGCTGGCAAGGACAACCAGGACATATCATTTCCAGGCTTCTTGCTCCTGCCACAGAGAGGAGGACCCAGAAGGGCAGGAACAGATTTGAGTATCAATAGACAAAATCCAGCAAAAAAGGGGGATATTGCCCAAGATGCTGTTCAACACCAAAATATGGCTTTCCCTGGATGAAGGAGGCCTGGATTCTAGAACTAGTTGTGCTATTGATGTGCTGTGACCCCTCCAAGGCAGTGTTGTACAGTGGTTCAGGACGTAGCTCACTGCCCTCATTTGCAAAGCAGGCAATAATATCTAGCTCAAAAGATTATTTGTGAGGGTTAACGGGTACTGCACCCAGGCGCGGTGGCTCACGCCTGTAATCCCAACACTATGAGAGGTCAAGGCAGGTGGATCACAAGGTCAGGAGTTCGAGACCAGCCTGGCCAACATGGTGAAACCTCATCTCTACTAAAAATACAAAAATTAGCCAGGTGTGGTGGCAGGCACCTGTAATCTCACCTACTCAGGAGGCTGAGGCAGGAGAATTGCTTGAACCCTGGAGGCAGAGGTTGCAGTGAGCTGAGATCATGCCATTGCACTTCAGCCTGGGCAATAGAGCAAGACTCCATCTCAAAAAAAAAAAAAAAATGGGGTACTGCAAAGTATTTAAAACAATGCCAGGAACAAAATAAGCATTAACAACTGATAGCTATTGTCATTGTTACCATCATTTTAATATCAATTTTGCCATCTGTAGAGAAAAGAGGAGGTTTGAATCACCTTTGCTTCTCTCTAACCCATCAGAGAAAAAGGAACTAACAGACTCAAACTGAGCCAGCCTCATGTTAAACTGAATTTTTGAGATTCAGAGAAACATAAATAATATCCTCCTGACCCTGTAATCACCGAGCTCACAGTTCGATGGGAGGACAGAGAAAAATCACTATGATTCAAGGCAAAATGTGCTCAGTGAAACACTAGATATAAGGAAAGTTACAAAAAGAGTACAAGAGAAAGTTTTGTAGCATAATAAAAAGATTCATACTGATTTCACTTTATTTTTTTATTTATTTTTCTTGAGATGGAGTTCACTCTTGTTGCCCAGGCTGGAGTGCAATGCCCCGATCTTGGCTCACTGCAACCTCTCCCTCCTGGGTTCAAGCGATTCTCCTGCCTCAGCCTCCTGAGTAGCTGGGACTAGAGGCATCCGCCACCATGCCCGGTTAATTTTTGTATTTTTAGTAGGAACGGGGATCAGGCTGGTCTTGAATTTCTGACCACAGGTGATCCTCTCGCCTTGGCTTCCCAAAGTGCTGGGATTACAGGCATGAGCCACAGCGCCCGTCCCAGATGTGACTTTAAATCCAGTATTATTCTCTGGTGGTCATGAGCAGTTCACTTAGCCGCCCGCACCTCAGTTTACTTGTCTGTAAAAGTGGAGGTATTAAAAGAGCCTGCTCACAAAGTCCTTGTGAAGATTGAGCTACTGTATATAAAGGTTCTCCTGCAGTACCAGGCACAAAGATGCGCTCAAAAGTGATCATTATTATGATTCCATTGGTCCACAAAAAAGACACAGGCCTAAACTAACGAAATGGAAATGGAAAGGGGAAAAAATCAGCTAAAGAGAGTCATTCTTCCCAGACTGCTTAATTACTGTGGATAAAAGCAGAGACAAGGGAGGGACCCACTAGAAGCGTTGGCCACGAGGGGGCGCCCCCGGAACTCGACGTCCTCGTTGCCCGTGGCAACCGGCGGTACTTGGCGCTGGCTTCCGGGGCTCTCAGCTAGAGCGGCAAAATGGACCTGAGCTCCTGGACCCCAGGGCTGAGGGCTGGCGAGAAGCAGGTGCAGGCAGCCGCCGTCTCCACCGGCCGCTCCCTGGAGTTGTGCACCTTCCCCTCCACCTTGGGCTCCTCGGTCGCGGTCGAGGCACTGGAACAGCTGTTTGTTGTGGGTAAGACGCTCCTGAGGCGCCTGAAGGGAACTCTCCTCAGAGGTGGCGCTTAGGAGGCGTTCAGCGGGAACCCTGAGCGGGGGCTTTCCTCCTGGAACCAGGGCATTCCTGGCCGGGGCAGAGCCTTCTCCCCGCTCCTTGGAGGCTGGGGAGAGAGGTGGCGGGTGGGGTCAAGTGCCCAGCTTTCTGGCTCTAGCGCAGCTGGGGTGACTTTGCTCAACTCTCAGTAGTGGTTGGTGAAAAATCCGGGACTCCCAAGCCACTGCCCTATGCCTGCGACCAGAGTACACACCTGCATTTAGGTTACGCCTTCGATTTCAGTTCTCTTCCTGCCTTTCCTTTACAAGTTAGCATTCTTCAGCATTTTGCCATGGCAAACTGGAGAATTAAACAGGCAAATGGGAAAGGAGTGTTTAAGAGGCTCCTGTTGTGTTAAGCAAGGAAAATTAGATGTAAACGTTTGCTTAGGAGATTCTAATAGAAAATGACCTTGGATGGGGCCAGGTGAAAATACTTTTTCAGTTAGAACGCTGAACCTGACTGTAATCAAGTCACTTAAGTTTAAGGCAAGACAGTCCAAGAAAGGGTGTTTCTTGTTCAGTGCAAAACCCGTTTAGGCCAAACAGCAGAACATTTCAGTGCTTCACTAGAATCATCCCATTTCTTCAAGATAATCCTATTGATTTATGTTACAATGTTACTATTAATTTGGGATAGTTTTAATTTTCCTTCTTAAATGCAGTAGGTTAATTTCACAGTTCTTATCAAACATGCTTGGGTAAATATTATGAAGAATGTTAACCACTGAGAAGACCTAAAGTTATTAAGACCTAAATTATTCACATGTATCTGAGGTCATTGTCGATGATAAAGCTAGGACCTTGAACTCTCTTCATACTTGATCTCTAGATCAGCATGCCAATGCAAACCTAGTACTTATGTACAAGTACATTTTTCTGTTAATAATGTCTAGACATGCAGAACATTTTTCATAGGAAAAAAAATCATTACACCTTCTTGCTCTGAGTGGGAATTATAAAATATTAATATGTAAATCTCCAGCACATTTGTCCTCAAGGAGCATAAAATATATACCTAAATTATAATATGGAATAGGAAGTCAACACAAAAGAGATTAGTGTATTGTACAATAGAAATTCAGAGATTGAAAATGTAACTTCCAGCCGAGTAAGCATTTGAGCTAGATTATAAAAGGTTAAGTAGGATTTGGGTAGATAAATAAGAGATCTTTATTTTCTAATTTTTTTTCAGAGCGATCACTGCAAAGTGACTATTTTAAATGCAATGAAGAAGCAAAGATCTTTCTTAAGGACATTGCTGTAGCTGTTAAGAAATTGGTATTGTGTTATCTATAATAACTATTTCTTCAATCTTCCACACATTGCTTCATCAAACTTTCATTTAGTAGAAATTCTGTTCAAAGTATTAAGTAGATGATTAGGGAATACAGTTACCCTGAACTTAAAAATACTTTTGTCTCTATTTTGTAGGTATTTACACAATTTTTGATCAACTATGGATTTTTGCTTGATTTTCCAACTAGAAAACTAAAGCTTGCCCTCATCCACAGCATAAACCCATTGCTTAAAATAACCATACAATCTCTGTAATAAATTTCAAGCATGGTGCCAAGTAACTCAGTTCTCTATAAGCAGTTCCTTGAATACCTGGTCAAAGATTATTTGACATCTGTTCCACTGAAGTAGACTGTACTGTTAGTGAAAACAAAGTGAAACTCTTTCAATTACACTTATCTGGCCCCTATCAAAGACACGTTGAAGAAATATTTAAAGAATCTTCCTCTGAGGTGTCACAGACATCTCTTTTCGGCCATGGATGATATTGACAGTGCTTCCTTGGCACTGTCAGAATGGTGAAGCTCTTCATTTTATTTAAAAATATTGGATAAGGATCTACTACATATCAAATAGCTAAAAATGTAGAAATATGGCTGTAAATGAGTTCGAATCCACAGACTGCTGATAAAACTCTCATCACTTTACATTTTATATAATTATACATACATATATATATACACACACACACACACATATATATATATTACATAATCATACTTTACAGTCCTTAATTGGATAGATACATGTAAACACTTAGGGGACATGTGTGTTATGCAGCACTGTGGTACTATGGAAACATTTTTCCCTGTGGGTTCCTTCTTTCAGTTACGTCTTTCTCTAGGATCTTAAGGGGCCAAAATATTTACTGTGGCTAAAGTATCTAATCTGTATTCATTTAATATCTGAGCTGTGAAATCTCTTAAAAAAC